TAACCCCCGCGCCGCTGCAACCGGCGCCTTCCTGCCCCCCCCACCCCACCCGCGCAGGGCGCGCGGCGCCGCCTGAGCCAATAGGAAGCCGCCGCCTCCGCAGCAACAGGTGGCCTGCCCGAGGTAGGCGCTGCTTCCGCCATCTTGAGTGAGGGCAGCGAGCGGCCGGCGGGGGGTGAGGGAGCCCCGCGGGTCGTGGGGCGCAGGCTGTGGGGGGGTGGCCGGGCAGTCGAGGCGGGGTGGGGGGCGAGGTGACCCAGCAGCTGGGGTTGGGCTCATGCCTGGCGAGCGCGGCCACCCGGTCAGGGATAATCGCGGCAACCCGGGGCCAAGGGGCAGGCCAAGGCCTGCTGCAGTCGCACAGCTGTGTTTGGCAGCACGGCTGGAGCACGGAACAACACGTCTTGATTTAAAGGACAAGGAATATTATGCAGCAAGCAGATGAATAAAAAAATTCTAGCTCAAACACTTATACATCTGCCAAAAGTTGCCATCATGTCTGTCTGAATTCCCTTATCTGCTTTAAGGGCAAGCCAACCAACTCTTGATGTTCTGCAAACAGTTCACTGAACAGACAACAGAAAGGAAGCTTAGAAGAAAAAAAAAAGGCCATAACATTGTTTGAACAGTTGCATCTCCTCTTGCTGGCAATGGGTGCAGCTAATCTTCACCTTTTCTTTGTACTTTTTTCAAAAGCATTCTATTGCTGGACCAAGACCAAAAAGGGTTTTGACTTTACAGTCTGTGAAAGGTAGCATATAAAGCCACTTCTGTGTCCTTTCCTCCTTACTTTGGACGTTAAGTAGACATTTTCTTAGAACCTTCCTTTTTTACCTGTGTCAATAAGGCCATAAAGGACAACTGCACCTTCCCTGGCTACACTCGAGGAGCTGCTTGTGTCAGACATTACTACGTTGAAAAATAAAGTTTACCTAATGTGCTAAGCTGGTTAGTCTGACCTAACTGACCTAGACAAATGCTTTTCTTACATATGTGTACGTAGCATCGCCTTCCAGGGAAAGGCCCAGAAGTGAGCTTCAAAGGTCACAAGTTTTTTATAAAGTTATTGTGACATTCACACAGCTACATCAAACGTCCTATACTAGTACAAGGATAATGCAGACTAGTAAAAGGCAGTAGGGAGTGAGAGGATGCTGGGCAGTAGTTGGCAAAGTACTAACCTAATATTCTACCCCTGCGCGGTTGCATAAGAAAAAACGAGGTCTGAAAAGTGGAAAGAACCATCAGTCAAAAATCTGTTTTCTCACCTGAGACCTGTTCAATACCAAAAACATGGCTACTAGCAAAACATACTTGAGTTCTGTAAAGAACGAGAAGTGGTGGCAAAATACGGGAGTTCCTTCTTATCATGAGAAGGCCTCTGAGGGGCTAATCTTCTTCTCATTTCCAGTTACAAGAAACTTCTCAAAGACATGAATGAGGAAACAGTTGGCATTTATACTATAGCTCAGAGTCCCAGGGCTTACTTAGAAAGCAACATTTCATCATGCAGCGTGATCTTGTGATCAGGTGTCATCTATCTGGAGACTGAAAAAAATTGTTTCATTTCATAATGTCTGGTATTCTAGGTCACAGGTTTTTAACTGTTTTTTTGTAGATAACATATGTTAGTGTGCACTTGGAAAACATTACTGTGCCAAATATGGGATCGGATTTTGTAACCAGACTAAAAACATACTGATGCAGGCTATGACAGGTCACTTCTGGTATGTCAAATATTTTCATTGGTGCTCAAAGTAAAATGCTCTTACAGATCTTTTCTTCCAAAATGCAACAACATGAAAAACTAAACTAGGTGAAAAACTAATTTTGACAGTTGCAAATGCTGTGCCACCTGCTGATCTGCACTGTGCAAAGTTTACAGCAGAGGCAACAGCCCCACTCCTTGAGATACCACTGTTACCCTATCTTAAGTTAGCACTGCTGACCTTTTATTCCAACAGATCAAAGACTTTAAACTGATGAGTTACTGGTCTCAGTCAATTTTAATGAGATCTTGCAGGATACAACAAGAAGAAAAATACCACATGAAGAGATAATTGTTTGCCTTCTCCCTCCTCTTCTGTTAGAAGCTTCTTCAGACTCTCTAATCTGTTTTGAACCATTTAAGCCTTTTTCGGAGAGATGATCTCTCATCTTAGATACAGGATATTTTCGTGATCAGTTGTACCAAGTGACGTAAGTCTGTAT